TTAAAGATTTTTTTTCTTTTAGTTAATGTCAAATATAGGCTTATAAAATATTTACAAATGTAAATTTATTATTATATATATTTATTATTGAATTAATTAAAATAGAAAAAATATAAAAATATATAATGTATTTTTTTTATTATTATTAAGAATAATTAATTATATTTTGAAATTAAAAAAAACAATAAAATTCATTGAAATTTTGAAAAATTTATATGATAATAAGAATAAAATTTAAAATTTAAATTTATGTTATTAAAATGATACATATTTATTATAATAAAAATATATTTATATTTTTCTTAGTTTTTAAAAAAATAAAATGCATTAATAATTTTAAATAAAAATATATTTATTAAAATAAATATAAAAAAAATAATTTTCATATAATTTCTATAAATCTAAATATTAATTATTTAATATTTTTTTTATAATATAAAAAATATTTTATATATTAATTTATGATATATAAACATAATTTTTAATTGAGATTTTTCAGTTTAAAATTTTTTTGAATATCAAATATTTTTATTTATTTATAACTATTAACTATAATAAAATTATTAAATTTTTATTAGTATAAATATAAATAATTTATGATGATATTTACATCATATTCGTATTAGATTTTTTTATTTATATATAAATGATAATATAATTAAGGATATTTTTATTAATATTTATTTTATAGTGTTGAAATTAAAATTATTTATGCTTTTTTATAATATAAAAGATATATAAAGGGAATTATATTTGATTATTTTTATTATTTATATAGATAAATAAAAAAAAATATATATATATAATTTTAATTTCAATGAATATAAGATAATTTTATTAGTTTTAATATATAATAATTTTATAAACTTTTATATAAATTAATTAATGATTTAAGAATATTTATTTAATATTTTAATATATTTTATTTTTAATAAATTTATTTACAAATTTTTATAATATGAAATAAAATAATAAATCTAATAATCATTAAAATATTAATAATATATAACATTAAATAAAATTATCTACAAAATAATTATTATAATTAAATATTTATATATAAAAAATTTTTATAATAAAAGTATAAAAATAAATAAATCAATAAGTTTATATATAATTAAGTTTAGTCTTTTTAATAATAAAATTATCTCCTAAATAATCCTCCTCTTCATCGGATAGTTATTCTTAAGGAGCTTCCAGAGACCCAATTTCAATTTTTTCATATTAATCTTCATCTTATTAATTCAATTCATCTTAACAATTTTCATCCATTTATTTTGCTTTACATTCTTTTTATATTTTAGCATATTCTTAAAAAAGATATTCATAAACTTCATTAATTTCTTAAAAATCAAAGAATTCTTAAAAATTTACTTAAATAATTTTTTATAAAATATCCAAATCTTCTTATTTTTCAAAAACATACATAAGACCACCAATTCCAATAGATCTAACATTCCATTTCAAGCCTAGATAGGCTTAAAATAATGCATATTCAATACATTCCTCAAAATTGGGGTTATTAATATATTAAGGAAAATAGTTTTAAATAAAATAAAATACATAATCACAAGGAGTAATTAAATCAAAATTCCAATTTAATTCCTAAGAAATTTTTAATTCAGATTATAAAATATTAATATTGCTTATTTTATCGTTGTTTTTTCGATCAATTTAATTAATTTGAATCATATTTTTACTATCTGACATCTTTAAAGATAAATATAGGGAAGTTACAATTATTTCATTGCAATTTTCTAATGTTAGATCTTGATTATTATCTGATAAAAGAATTGAGTCTGTGTACATTAAAGAGAGCATTTTTTATTTTAAAGTTATTGGAAATTATTCTAGGCAAAATTAATTTTTTATACATATTATTGTGTGTGGGATTAATGTTTCTATAAGTTTGTATAAGCATTATTCCCGATATTTTGGAATGTTATTTTTTATTTTTAATTAAATTTAGTTATTTTCTCTATTTATAATAGAGGTTATTTCCATTTTATTTTTAATTATTATTATTATCAATATATGTTTGTTTGAATTTTTTTTTAAATTATTAATTTTTTATTTATAATATATATGTGTTTTTTACATTGGCTATTTTATTATTTACATATGTTTTATTTAATCTATAAAGAAAATTATAATTTTTATTTTTTATTGATTTAATAAAAATATATATAAATAATAAATAGTTAATTTAAATACAACTAATTTAAAAAAATATATAAATTTTATGTATCTTTTATGCTTAATTTGTTTATATATAAATAAATATATTAAATGAAAAAATTAAAAGACAAGCAATTATACACAATAACACTAAAAAAATATATAATATTTTTATAAAATAAGAACATTTTTCTTCAAAAATTAATTGATTAAACAAATTATTTTTCTAAATCTTTATTTATTTTAATTTATATGTTTTTACCTTATAATTTGACATTTAAATCGCTAATTTCTTGTAAATAAATAAGCTATTCATTAATTAAACAGTAAATATAATTAGTTTAAATTAAATCAGAATTATTAACTAAATATGCTACTTTTATATTTTCGTTTTTATTTATAAATTTATTTATAATTTTTTCATTATCAATGTAATATTATTAATTAACTAAAAATAAATATTTTAAATTATAATTCATCATTTTTTCTTAAACTAATTAATATAAAGTACTAAATATTGACAAATTTCCGGAATAAATCACATAATAACTATTTTCGAAAAATTAATTATCTAATTGCTTCCCAGTTTATAAATCTATTAAATTTTATAATTCATAGTTTTTTTAACTCAGAATTGACTCTGCATTTTTCTTAAATAGTTCGTCTCTTTCCCTCACTATTTTCATAAAATCTTTTCGGTTTTTTTGTGACCAATAACTAAATATTTATATACTAATGGAGATAAAAGAAAAAATCGGCAAACGTTTCTCAATGGAGGACGCTATTTCGTTGCAAAACTTATAATATTACGCATTTTTTAAAAAATAAAAATTAAGAAATTTTTTATTTGTTTAATTTTAATATTTATAAAGATATTATTTTTATTTATTTTAAAATAAAATTAAATTATAAATAATTGATTTAATAATATTTTTGTTATTTTTAAAAAAATTTATTAAAATAATATTAAAAATATTTTCTTTTATAATGACAAAAAAATTTAATATATTATAAGCCATGAATAAAAGATAAGAGATTAAAATCCTAAAATAAATTCTCCTCTTTTAAAAATGTAAAAATAATCAAATTATTTGAGTTTAATAACAATCAAATAATTATTTTCGATGGAAATTCTATAGAAATGAGTTATTTTTAAGAATTTTTTTTTTAAATAAGGCATATAAGTAGAAATATGATTTACTTTCTAACTTTCCAAAATAATTAAAACAGAATAAAAAATACATAAAATAATTATTAAATATAATAATTAAAGATTTAATAAAATAAATTTCTTAAAAGAATAATTTAAATATAACAACCGATAATAATTAAAAAATACTCCTTTAACAACTAACACATGTTAAAAATAGAATATATTTAAAACTGTATTAATGATTTTTTTTTAATTTTGACTCTTATTTATTTCTATTATGATAATATTTCTTATATTATTTAAACTTAGATGATTTTTTATGTAATAAATAAAAAAAATTATTTGCTAATATTTACGATGTATATAAGATATTTTATAAAATAGTTATTTATTAATTAAGATTTACAAAACCTTAATGAAATTATTTTAATAAAAGAAAAATTAGATATTCAAATTAAATAATAATATACTAATACTAATATTTAAATATAATATTAATCAATATAAATATTAGTTGAAAAATATAAAAAAACTAAAAGTAATATTATATTAAAGGTTATTAACTAAATTTAGTAGAAGAAAATTCATGTTTTTGCTTTAAAAATTCCATATTTATTAAATTGAAAGATAAAAATCGTTATTATTTATATATATATTGTGTATGTATTGCTTTTTTATAAAAGGAATATTTATTATGTGTTTAAAATATATAAATAATTAATTTATATTTATTTTGTATGTAAATTTGCTTTATGATATTTATATTATTTTAATTTAAATTTATTTTATAATTATTATGTTTTTATAGTTTAAATCACTATATAATTTATAAATATATATATAAATATATATATATATATATATATATATATATATATATATGTAAACAAGTTATTTTAAGTATATATAAAATAAATAAAAAAAAATACATATTATAAGTAATATTAATAAAAATATTTTGGTTGTATATTATATTTTAAAGTAAATAATACTCTCTTTGTATTCATGATATTAAGATAAAGATTATGTTATTTTTTTTAAATGTAGTAATTGTCATTACTTTCACACATAGTGTATTACAGACTGCTTTAAGAACTAAATTTATTACTTTTTTGTATGTTTATTATTATTTTAATATTATTTTCCTAAACTTTTTATATATATATGAAATATCAATTTTTTTTTTTTAATTTTTTTTATACTCAAATATAAATAATTAGAGTTATTAAAAAAATAAAATTTAAATGACAAAATATTGTTATATATTAAATTTAAATTTAAATATCATATAATTAATATTTTTTTTTTTTTAAATGTATTTATTTTTTATTTTTATTTATAAATTTAGCATAATTTATCCCTTGCATAAATCTTAAAATAAATATATCAATTATTAAAATTTTGCATTAAATTAAAAAACATTTTTTATTTTTTGAAAATTTAATTATAAATAAAGAATGCTAAGTTTATTAAGTCTTTTGTCATAAAAAATAAGTGTAAAAAATAAAGAAAGACTTTAAACAAATTAAAATTCAGAAGAATAAGAATTTTATATATCTAATGATACAGAAGTATTTACTATTTATTATAAATTTGATAAAAATGATTTTTTTTTTATAGTTAAAAGTAGATTCAATAATTCCTCAAACAATAAAAGAAATATTTTAAAATGTAAATATATAAAAAAATTCAAAATAAAAATAATTAATAAAAGATAGATGAGTTTACATTTAATTGCTTTTAAATGAAAGAAATTACAAAAGGAAATGAAATTTAATTTTTATTAATTCATTTATTTAATAGATTTTAACTTTTAAAAGATTTAAATATAGATTTGAGTACATTTTATAGATTTACAAAAGAAATATAAAAAGGATATAGAGATGTACCTTATCATAATAAACTTCACGCTTTCGATGTTTTGTAAACTCTTAACTTTTTTATGATAAAATGTCAGTTTTCGTCTATAGCGAATTTATCAAAATTAGAATAAGCTGCTATGTATATATCGGCAGCTGCGCATGATTATGATCATCCGTATGAATTAATAATATATATAATATATTTAATTATATTTATAAAGTGGATTTTCAAATATATATTTGAAAAATACAAAGAATTAATTAGCGATAAGATATAATGGTAAAAAAAATAATATTAAATTATTGTAAAATAAATATTATATATTATATATATATATATATATATATATATATATTTATTTTTATTTTTAAATTTATTTTTATTTTGTATAGATATAAGTATATTAGAAAATCATCACGTAAGTTCATTATTTATTATTTGTTTTAAAGATGAAAAATAAAATATTTTAAAAAATTTTTCGAACTAAGATTATATTTAATTTAGACATATTTGTATTAGTATGATTTTAGCTACTGATATGACAAATCATTTTAAAAATATAGCCAAGTTATAGTAAATTTTAAGTGAGGAAGGGTTCTCTATAAATGAAGAGAATAAACTTTTTTTTGCAGAAGCTTTATTACATGCATCTGACATTAGTAATCCTATGAAGCATTGGGATGTTAGTAGTTAATGGGCTGTTTTGGCTAGCAATGAGTTTTGCAATTAGGGAGATTTAGAAAGGGCTGAAGGTCTAGAAATAAGTTATTTATGTGATAGATATAGTGTTAATTTAGCAAAAAGCTAAATTAATTTTTGTGATTATATTGTAAAACCGCTTTTTGAGAAATGTGTCGAATTTTTGCCTTTATTGTAAGAATACATATAGAATTTTGAATAAAATAAAAAAAGTTGGAATTAATTAATAGATTATTATGATTTGAAATTAAGTTTTTTATTTTTTGTTATAAAAAAAATATATATTTTTTTTAATTCAAAGAATAATTATAAGAATAAAAAAGTTAAAATGAAAAATAATAATAATAATAATAAGAATGAAAAAAATTTTTTAAAAATAGATTTTTTATATCAATTTTTTTTTCTTTAAAATTAATATAAAAAAATATTCATTTTTCTATCTATATTTATGTTTACTTTTTAATAAAAAAACTAAAATATTATTAATATTTTATTAATATCATATATTTACTTATATATAATTTTAAATATTTTTAATACTAAACCTTAAATTTAAAATTTTTTATTCTTTTATCTTTCTATATTATTTATTTATATTATATTTAATTTATTAAATAATTCAATATTATTTTATTTTTTTAGTTTTATAATTCTGTATTATTTAAAAATAATTTTTAACTAAAAACTTTATTAATAAATAAAATATTATAATTAAAATTATATATTTTTAATTAATTTTTATAAGAAATTATATATATTAACAACATCTTAAAAATTATAAATAATAATGCTGTATTTTTAATTTTTGACATTTTAAAATTGTTAATTATTAAAATAATTTTAGGTTATCTATATAATATTAATTATTAAAAATAAAAATAATTAAAATTATCTTAATTTTCTATATATTTAAAAATTATTATTATATTGAGATATAAATATATATGTATTTATATATATTTATATTTATATTTATATTTATATTTATATATTTACTTTATTAAATAATAATTCTTATAATTTACATTTTAAATTTCTATAAATAAATTATTCAAAATTAATACTAATATATAATATATTTAAAATTAAAATTAATATTATTCAAAATATATAAAATACTTTTTTTTATGAATATTAATTTTTCCTTAATTATTCTTATTAAAATATATAAAATATTTTTTTATTCTTATTTTGATTAATACTTTAATATATTATTGAAATGCAATTATTATTAGATTTTTTTTTAAGAAACATATCTTTAATTATTATAATTATTTAATTTATTTAATCAAATTTTTTTTTAAATATTTTTCATATTAATAAAGTTTTTAAATTTTTATAATAATAATTTTACTATTAAAATATTTATATATTTTTATTTAACATTTTTTTTTTTTAGTTTATAACTTATTATTAGTATAATTATTATTTTTAACATTTTTTAAATTAATTTCCTATAAAAATTTTATTTTTATATAGTTAAAATAATTTGTACTTTATTTCAAATTTAAATTTAATAATTTTTCATAAATTTCTAATTTATTTTTTTATACTTCCTTAAATTTATTTTATTTTATCTAAAAAATTTATTATAATATTTTTTTTATGTCGTTTTTAATTTTTTTTTATTTATGTTTTATTATATATAAATAATTAAATTCATTATGTTTACTCTTCAATATAAATTTTAATTCTTCTTAATTTTTTATTTTATTTTAAATAATCAAAATTTTAATTATTTTATCAATACATGGTATAACAAATTATTAGTTAGAGTCTTAAGTTTTAATTATTTTGAATAAAGTAACTAATATACAACAAAAATTTAATTATATAATTATTAGTTTGATTTTGAAAATATTTACAAATTTAATATAAATTATTTATTAAAATATTTTGTTTATATATTATTTATTATGTAATTTTAACAAATATAATTATATTAATTGTATTTTAATAAAAAATACTATTGATTTTTAAGAAAATCTTGATTTATGAAATAATTCAAAATTAAATAAATCCTTAATAGTTAATATATTTTATTTAAAAAAATATTTTATTTTTATATTTTAATATAAAAAAAAATTTTTTTGATATTTAATCAAATATATTTTGTTTGATAAATAAAAAAATAATATTAAATTTAAAATTATTTTAAATGATATTGATTTTTTACGATTTACTTATAACAATTCTTTAAATATTTTTTTTTATTTTTTAGACAATTTTTTTTATTTATAGAAGTAATATTTATTATATAATTTCTATAAAATATATTATATTTTTTAAATAAAAGATATTAATCTTATAATTTTAATTTAATTTAATTTTGTTTTTAAGTATTTCATTTTTTTATATATTACAGTTTTTAATTTTTTTAATCTTTTTTTATTAATTTTTAAAAAATCTAACTTTTTTGTTATTCTTTTACTCTCATTTAAATTTAGATACACAATCTATTCTAGGCAATGTGTTTTCCGTTTTTATTTTATAAATTCATTAAAAATAAATATTTTAGAAAAATATAAATTAAAAATATAATGAATAAAAAATTAATTATGATTGCTGTTTATTAACTGTAGTATTAGATGACTGCAGCAGGATTTTTAGGAAAAAATGCAGTAAATGACTTAGTGGAGATAAATTATTAAGGAAGTTAAAATATTATTTCTAAAGGATTTTTTATAGTTAAAATATTGATACAATTTCATCCTAAAATAAAATAAGTAATTTTTATTTATTTGATATCTACTCTTGGGATTAAGAATAATTCTTTTTTTCTCAAATGGAAAAATAAAAATTATTTGAGTTATATTTGTGAATACATGGATAGAGGGATTAGAAATTAATGCGAAAATTCTTTTAAAATAATAACCTTAATTTGAACTATAATTCTGTTCTAAATTGATGAAGCCGATGATAATAAACATTGGAGTGTTATAAATTTAATCTTGAAAATTTTCTTTGATATTTAGCAACATAAATAATAAGCAAAGCAAGTCTAAAATGAAAAATATTCATTATATTATGCAAAAGAATAAATAACTAATAATTACATTTTTTATTAATAAAAGTATATTAAGAAAATATACTGTCTTAGAGTAAGATATTATGTGAAAAATATAATATAGCATTGTTACTTGTAAGAGTTAAAAATTTTAAAAGGAAAAAGTGATAAAATTAGACTATTGATAATTAATAAAATAAAGGAGTATCTTGGGTACTTTATATTTGAGTAAATAATTGTGCAGTTTTATAATCTTAATGTAGTTTTAAATATTTAATTGTAAGTATGTAATAATATTTCTTATACTCCTAATACTATATAAAATATTTTTTATGTTCACTAAATATAAAATTTTGGTTTATATTATTAAGAAAATTACAAAGGATAACTAGATCTATTAGCAAATATATTGATTGTAATTCAGGCATTTATTTTTTCGTTTAAAATAATTTAAGGATAGTATTCATTGAGTTTTTTAAAAAGTAACTAAAAAAAACATATCATAATGGATAACTAAAAAAATAATAATGAAATAATTTATATTATTTTAAAATGGAAATTTTTTATTATAAGTTTCATTTTTATTGTATTAAAAGAAAATTTAAATTAAAAAAAATAAAAATATATAAATCTAAATTATATTATAAAAAATTTATTAATTAAAAAAATAATTTTATATCATTTTTAATTGATAATAAAAATATATAAATAATAATTTAAAAAATGAAAATTAAAATTACAAAGTATAAAAATAAATTAATATATTTGTTCATAATAAAAAAAAATTAATATAATATAAGTATTTTATTTAAAAAATAAATACATAACTTTAATTTCATATAAAACTAATATTTTTTTTTTGTAAAATTTTTAATTCTATGATGATAATTTAATTATTATATTATATGGATTCTTTTGAATAAATGCAATATAAATAAAAATAATTTAATACAAACTAATAAGGTTTAGGGTTGGGTTAAGTGTTGGGTTTGGGGTTGGGGTTGGGGTTGGGGTTGGGGTTGGGGTTGGGGTTGGGGTTGGGGTTGGGGTTGGGGTTGGGGTTGGGGT